GTATCCAGATTCATACAAGGAAGAAGATACATGTTCAAAGCTGAAGATCAAAGATCTGAGTCAAATCCAACCAGAAGTGACTCAGAAGAAGACAAAGAAGAGGAAAGCGCCAACAGAAGGATCATCTCATCAGACTCCAAAGAAAAGAGGTATTTCATCTGCTGCCCCTATTTCAATTTCATCTACTATTCCAACATCTGCTGCCCCTCCTCAAACCTCTCACAGAATATCAATCCCAATCCCTACCATTGATGAAACCATACCAGAAGACCCTTCTGAGGCCTTACTACTCAGAAGAACCAGAACTAAGATTCCCAAACAACCAACTGTTTCAACAACACCAGCACTTGATCGAGTGCTAGCTGATATTGAGCGTGAACATGTTTCTGCTCAACCAAATTCTGAACCACCAAATATCCCTCCTCCACAACCAGAACAACAACCTGAACCAGAACCACAACACCAACCAGAATCAGAACCACAATCACAACAACCACTCACAGAAGAACCTCTGATCCCTGAGCAATCAGAGATTCCACCTCCTCAACCAGAAAACAATCCACCTTCACCACAAACAGAGTTTCACCACTATGAAACCCCTTCTCCTCATCATTCTGACCCTCACTCACCTCAACCATCACCGTTGGCAATCCAGTTGCCATGTGGAACCACTATTGTCAGGCCCCAGTTGCCATCCTCATTAGAATCAACACCTCCAAAAACTCCAACCACTCCAATAGAAATATCTGACTCTGATTCTGATATCCCTCCTCCAAAACAAACAACCTCTCAGAAAACCGCTGAAAACCCCAGCAGAACTTTCATTGACTTCACAAGTCTTGAACGTCTTGCTGATCTAAGACACAAAATTGCCATCCCCAAACCAAAGCAACCAGATGTTGGCTCTGGTATTTTGAATTTTGAAACAGGTGTGCTGCAATGGATTGCTTCTTTGAAGCAAGTCTGTCCGGGGATGATTGACCCAGCTGCTTCTGATCAGCTCTGGTCACAGTTCAGACTATGGGTACGTGCTGAAGCCCTCAAGCTGTAGGACGTCAACTATGAGCAGGCTCAACAGAACTTCAGCAAGCTGCTGAAGGAAGTTGAAAGTCAGCTGCCTCAAGAAGTTGTGCTCCCTCTGGACAGTGAATCTTGGTCTGAGAAAGAGCAAGCTGCAAAGGTGCAACCATCAGAAGAAGACAAGACCATTCAGGCTGAAGAAAATCCAGCAGAAGATGTCGCTGAAAGTTCTGAGAAGCTTCCTCCTTCTGATACTTCTCAAGCTGCCTTGGACAGGCAGGCTCTGGAAGAATTAAGGCTGAATGACTTGCGTCTACAGCAGCGGATGGAAGAGAATGATCAGAAGATGAAAGCAAGAATGGATGTACAGGACAGCAAGATTGACACTGTGGTCAACATGGTCCAGAAGCAGAATGAAACTTCTGAAAAGATTCAAGCGATGCTGGAGAGCCTGTTCTCACGCATGCCCCCTCAACCTTAAATCTTTTTCATGCATAACTTTTTCATGCTTTCTTCATTTTCTGATGTATTGTTTTGACTATGTTTTGTAATGTTCTTTTGCTCTGATTATGAACTATTTTAATATAATTTGTTTTTCTGATCTAAATTGTTTTAGCACATCACCAACACTTTTTGATTGCTGACAAAAAGGGGGAGAACAAGAATGATATTTAAAATCAATAACGGCTAACTAGACAGAAATTCTCAAACATTCTAACTCTATTACTTGAAATGTTTTTCTGTTTTGTTTAAAGTCTACAGGCACAAGGAAGCTCTTGAACACTATGAAGACTAGAAGCTCTGATCAAAATGTAGAAGCTCTGATCAATGTTGCTCTGATCAAATATGAAGTTCTGATCGTCTTAACACTCTGATCCAAAGCAAAGCTCTGACAAGAAAAGCTCTGAAGCTCTGCTCTCTGATAAGTCAAGACTCTGATAATCTGATGTTCAACGAAAGAAAGAGATCTGATCCTGAAGTACACGTATCATCAAAGGGAAGTAATCAACTCAGGGGGAGTATCTCTTAACTCTGATTTCTCCTTACTTCTTAACTCTGAAACATTTCCCAGACACCTTTTCACGTTATTTTTCATTTAAAATATCTAGTTTTTGTCATCATCAAAAAGGGGGAGATTGTTAGAACAATGTTTGAATCTACTACCCTATATTTGAGTTTTGAGGATAACAAAGTGAAAAGATATAGTATTTATATGTTTCATGTTTGAACTATATGCTGCCTAAAATTACTATGCTCTGACTTGCAGATACGCTGATTAAAATAAGCAAGATCACTTATTCAGCATCAGAATTTGATTTCATACACCAGCATCAGAAGTTGCTGAATCAGAACGTCAAGATCAGATGATCAACTCACGTACATGCTGAAGCTTGATGAACAGAACTGCGCGTAAACACTCTGATACAGAAACACAATAGTTCATCAGCAGCGAAGCAGAATCAGAATGAGCCAAGCCAGAACGTGCATTGAAGAAGCAACAGTACTGTGCATTGAACGCTAATTAATTCCAACGGCATCATTCTAGACAAGATCTGCTCAAAAAGGAAAGCTTGTTATTAGCATTGAATCAAGAATATTGCATTCAACGTTCATCTTCTCAAGTGCTATATAAACAAGGCTTCGAAGATTATAATGGCTAATGCTCTCCAAATCTCTACACGCACAAAGCTGAACAATAATCTTCATCTACCAGTTTTGCTAAACCACAAACTCTGATACTCCATTAGTGTTTAGCAATCTAGTTTCTAAGCTTCATTTTGTGTATACATCACAGTTGTGATAAAGTTTTGTAGAAAACATTCACACACATTGTTTTATACCTTTGTAAGAAAGTGTTGCCTTGACAAACCGGATTGTGGTTTGAATCAAGAAGGCTTTAGCAGTTGTTAAAGCAGTCTGTAATATTCAGTTGAATATAGTGAATTAAGACCTCGTTGGAGAGAGGCGAAATCACCTTGACGGGTGGACTGGAGTAGTTTGAGATCAAACGAACCAGGATAAAAATATCTTGTCAATTGCTTTAAGATTTCAGTTTTTACAATTCAACCCCCCCTTCTTGTGTTTTTCACCCCTTCAGATGAATGGCGATGAAAGCATTCAGGACTTCCATATGAATGTTCTTGAAATAGAAAATGCATTTAGTGCCTTGGGAGAGAATATGTAAGAATAAAAGCTTGTTAGGAAGATTCTAAGGTCTCTACCTAAGAGATTTGACATGAATGTAACAACTATTGAAGAAGCTCATGACATCAGTAACATGAGGGTTGATGAACTTGTTGGGTCACTTCAAACTTTTGAATTGGCTATTAGTGACAAGTCTAAGAAAAAGAACAAGAGCATAGCCTTCATATCTAATGTTGAAGGTAAAGAGGGCCAGGTTGATTTAGATACTGAGAAAGGATTGTCAAATACCATTATGTTACTTAGGAAGCAATTCAGTAGAATATTGAAGAGAATGGATAGGAGGGAAAGAACAGATGTTAAGAACATCTCATCTGACATCAATAATAACTATGATTCTCAGAAAAATACCAGAACTGAAGAGAAGTTTAATCAAATCAAAGGTATTCAATGTTTTGAGTGTGGAGGTTTTGGTCACATTAGGCCAGATTGTCCCACTTTTCTCAAGAAACAGAAAAAGCGATTTTTTCTATCTTGGTTTGATGATGATGTGTCAGAAGATGAACCTAACACTGAGACCATCAAAATTGTGATTGCCCTCTCTAGAAGATGGGCAGATGAAGTACAATCTTGTGATGAAAATGTTCTATATGAAGATATGGATGTGTCCTACAAGGAAACTTGTGACAGATGTGAAGAAAGTCTTATGACAGAAGAAATAAGAGAAAGATCATAGCTAAATTGGAGAATGAGAAGAAGGAACTTCTATGCGCTGTTTCTCATCTACAAAATGAGATATCTCTCTTAAATTCCAAGCTTAATAACATGACAGATTCTTGAGAAGGATGAAAAATGGAGCTGATATGATGAAAGAGACTGAAGATACAGGAGTTAATTATCCATTTAATAATCAACAAAAGAAAAGATCTACAAAAAATCTCTTTCCTTCTGAAAAGAAGAAAATGATCACCATGTCCACTCACATGTTACAACATCCTCGCAGACATGATGTAACTTCATCAAAATTCTAGTTCTCAACTTGGAAATGTCACTACTATGGTGAGTATGGTCATATAAAGCCCTTTTGCTACAAATTGTATGGAGTTCAAAAACCTTCAGCTCATTCCAAGGCTTATCAAGTGAGTAAAAATAGGAGTTATAAATATAAGGATGTTAATCTTATACTCATAATTCTTTGAGAGCTTCAACTAGAGAAACTGGTACTTTGACAGTAGATACTCTAGATATATGACAGGGGTTCAGAAGTTGTTGGTGAATATCAAGTCTCAACCCACAGGTTCTGTCAGATTTGGTGATGGATTCAAAGGTGAAATCAAGGGAGTTGGAAAATTGTTGTATGATGGCTCTCCTAGTCTAGAAGATATTCTTATGGTGGAAGGAATAATTTCTGATCTTATCAACATTAGTCAGTTATGTGACCAAGGGTTGTTAGTCAATTTCTCAAAGTTAGAATGTCTAGTCAAAGATGATAAAGATGATGTTCTGATGAAGGGTATAAGGTCTAAAGACAAATGTTATATGTGGGAACCTCAAATAACTACTTACTCTTCCACATGTTCGATCACCAAGGAAGATGATGTGAAGAAATGGCACCAGAAGCTTAGACCCCTTCATCTCAAAAGAATGAAGGAAAGATCCCTTCAAGCCTTGCAAATTGCTCTTATCTGGATGTACTAGACCTTGGGAATAATAGTCTGTTTGGTAGAATTCCAGGTTCCTTGGGCCAATTAAAAGAACTAAGATCATTGCACCTTAATGACAACAGCTTTTCAGGGGATTTCCCATCATCATTAACAAATTTGTCCATTTTGGAAACCATGGATCTTGGCTACAATTTTTTGTCTGGTACTATTCCAACTTGGTTTGGACAAAGCTTTCCATTTCTAAGAATTCTAATTTTGAGGTCTAATGCATTTTATGGAGAATTGTCACTTGACTTTTCAAAACTAGATTCTCTACAAATCCTTGACCTTGCTAGAAATGACTTGAGTGGGAACATTCCAGCTAGCTTGAGTTATCTGAAAGCAATAGCCCAAGTGCAGAAGAAAAACAAGTATTTACTGTATGGAAAATTTGAAGAACACTACTATGAAGAAAGCTTAGATGTGTATGTGAAAGACCAACTATTAAAGTATACCAGGACTCTTTCCCTTGTTACTAGCATAGACCTTTCTGATAATAATTTCACCGGCAATATTCCCAATGAAATAACAGAATTGTATGGTTTGGTGGTTCTCAACTTGTCAACAAACCATATAACTGGCCAAATATGCTTCAACTATCCTCTCTTGATCTCTCAAACAACAAACTTACTGGAACAATTCCTTCAAGTTTGTCTTCCTTGTCATTTTTGGGGTCCCTAGATTTGTCCAATAACAACCTCAGGGGTGTCATTCCTTATACAGGTCATATGACAACCTTTGATGCTTTAACTTTTACTGGGAATCCTGGTCTTTGTGGTCCTCCACTCCCTGTGAAGTGTTCGGGTGATGATGACAACAGACATAGTACTAATAATGATACAAATGGTGAAGGTTTGTTTGATAACTGGTCTTACTTGAGCCTTGGTTTGGGGTTTGCAACAGGTATTCTTGTTCCTTATCTCATTATAACAATCAAGAGTTCTTGGGGAGATGTATATTTTGATTTTGTGGATCAAATTATTTACAAATTACTGAGGTTAACACGCAGACAAGGAAAAGATAGGAGAAAGATACATCAGAGGCAATAGTTTATTGTATGTTTTAATGTAAGACAATAGTAGTGCTATTGTAATATATTAGTTAATAAGATATGGTTTATTGTATCTCTTACACTATTTGCAATACTTTTTATGCAGATTTTCACACTCAGTTTAAATTGGTGTTATTACTTTCTATTTGAATTCTTGTCACCAAATTTTTGTTTCCTGCAACCTGATCAGTCCATTTAATTGAAATTTTTGGTGTTCCAACAATTCTCAAATCTTTCTTTCAGAATGCAAATTTTCATATTATGGTTATAAAAAATATCAACAGTATGGTTTTCGGGTGTCTAATGGAAAATTATGTGTCATAAAAACATTTCTGTCAACACAGATTAACACATTTACAAACAGTGCAAAAGATGGTGTGGCTGAAACTAACTGTTTTGCATTTTATAATTAGAGGTATAAAATAGATAAATGCAATGTGTTTTGAATTCGACATTATGCTATGTTTATTACTTCCTCCGTTCTTTTTTAACTGTCATTTTAACATAAAGCTCTTCAACCAAGATACTGGATTGTTAGAGTTATTTTTTCTATTATACTCTCATTTATTTTTTCTTTCCAAATAAATTTAATCACATATTCTCTATCTTTTTTCAATAATTAGTTGAGAAAATAATTAATTTAATGAAAAATGTGAAGTTGAGTTATTGAAAAAATAAGAGTATAATTGACAAATTTTAACATTAAACTATAAAAACGGCGGAAACAAAAAATTTATTCTAAAACCATATTTAAAAAGAAACAGAGGGAGTAATAGATTAGTATAGAGACAATACAGCGAGTCCAAGGAATTTAAGAAAGATGCCAAACTGATTTCATATTATATAATGCATGCCACCTTCATGCGAGTTTCTTAATTTGAAAGTATGCATTATGTGATTTTGATTGGAACTACCGAGAACCAATTTTGGTTTGACCATTTATATACCTTTTTGCACACACAGGAGTATGGAATCATGATTGACTCTCCCCTAATCAATCTACTTTCATGCGCGAGTTTCTTAATTTAAAAGTATGCATTATGTGATTTTGATTAGAACTACCGAGAACCAATTTTGGTCTGACCACCTATATACCTTTTCACACACACAGAAGTATGGAATCATGATTGACTCTCCCCTAATCAATCTACTAGGATGTATTACTAAAAATAAGAGATATTAAGAATGATATAAAGAATGTCCATATTTAATACACCTTTGTAATCAAAGTTCGAGGTTGACGAATGTTGAGGTTATCTATAAAGCCATCAAACAACTGCAGTGGAAGCCCTTTGTAGAAGTCTTAGCTATTTGGTAACCTAAGGTTGACCATGAGCAACCTTTTCAAGTACAAAGTGAGTATCCATGATAGCAAGCCCGCACACATTAGATTCAAGCCCAAGTATTTGCAAGACTTTGTTACCAATTAATATGTTTGAGTTATAGCAAGCTTTATTTCCTTCAAGTGGGTTAGGCCCAATAGGATAAATTGATAGGGTTATTGTTTGTATTTAAAGAGGCTGCTACCTCATTGCAAGCTATGAATGAATCTGAACTTTATTTCTTATGTTGTTTTATGTTTATCTAGTGGCTAAACCTAGATCTGAAAAATAGTTGCATTAATTTCTTCATCAATTGGTTCTTTCATCTTCTACTCTCATGGAACCTCTCAAACCCACAAATCCCTCTTCTAAAGAGATCATCGAAGAAGCCGTTTAAACAGTGGTGCAAACAACTGGTCTATATCTAAACAATGTTATGCAAGATACACAAAATAAACTTGATGAATGATTTTCCATAACTACTACGGATCAATCCATTTAATTGAAATATTAGTACAATGTTTTTAATTTGGATGTATGCATTATGTGATTTTGATTGGAACGACCGAGTACCAATTTTGATCTGACCACTTATATATACCTTTTTGCACACACATGGAGTATGGAATCATGATTGACTCATTCCTAATCAATCTACTCAGGTGTATTACTAAAAATAAAAGATTAAAAATAATACAAAGAATATTTCATATCTAATACACCTCCGTTATCGAAATTGGAGGTTGACGAATGTTGAGATTATCTATAAAGTCTTCAAACAATTGCATCGGAAGGCCCTTTTGATAAGTGTGTTTTGTATCGTTTTTATAAGTATATTTAGTCTTATTCTCATCATGTTTTACTTGTTTTTCTTCACTTTTTTATATTTTATGCTTTGGTATTATGTTTCTGTCATTTTCAGGCTCTCATGATCATACCGGAAGAAAAAGGGATCAAATCGACTGAAAAACGAAGAAAAGCGCAAAAACCACAAGTATCCTGTACAAAAACCAAAGACAGGTTACAGGTGCCCGTAACACACGTTACGGCCCGTAACAGGCTCCAGACTGAAGCCCCTCCTTGCACACACGCCCGTATAAAAAATCTATGACATGTTACGGGTGCCCGTAATACGTGTTACGGCCCGTAACAAGCATACCCAACTTCCATCAAATGTTCCCTTTTTCGGTTCGATTGTGCTGTTTTGGGATTTTTGGCATTTTGAGATCTGATTTGATTTCACTTAATATCTAAGATATGTTTGTTTAGGGCTATTTTTCTATTTAAGCAAATAATTTTGTAAGGATTGGGATCAAGCTTTTAACGTACAATTGTCTCTGCATATTTTTATCAAGTTTTGTAAAAGCCTCCATTGGAGAAGTTGGATCAAGAGTTCTTAATATATTCAGTATTTTATTTTCATAAGGTTATTTTTATTGCATTCTTTATAATTAATTTAATAATGTTTTCCATTATCTTTGATTTGATTTCTTATTTTCTCACCATGAGTGAGTAGTTCCATAAAGATAAAGGGTCGTGAGACCTAACTCTTAACCATCTATGTATTTGATTTACCGCTTATGAGAATTCGAAATGCCTTTATTTTATAAACCTAAGTTTTTATAGTTCACCCTTTTTACGAAAATAAATGAGTTTTCAAGTATCGATAATGATTTGAAAGGACTTGTATCGATACTCGATAACAAGTTTTTAGACAACTAAATTTGATGATGTGAAAGTACTTGAATAAGGTTGAGAAATGCTCCATCTTTATAGCTATGCAAAAGTAATGATCTTTGATAAATAATTCTGCGCGAGCGAAAGTCGACAAGCGTCTTGTTTGTCAAAGGTGGGACAACACGCTAGCGAAAGTAGGTGTTGTCCATATTAGATTCCCTTGTCTTTGTTCAGTTTTTCTCCATCTTTTCCTTTAATCGGAAATTTGACACATTTTGAGTTATGTTGTTTGTTATCTTTGACTTTGGTACAAAAATTATTCCTGGACCTTATATCAAGTCTTTTTATGACCTTGCTAAATCTCTTTAATAACATGGCACTCTACCTGGTTATCACAATCTTCAATTTCAACTTTGAAAGCCATGCCCTTATTCTTTCTCTTGGATACATCTCACTTATTTGCACATGTCAGGAATATTTTATTTGGAACAATTGGTTTTATCTCTAACTATACATTAGTTTGTAAAATTGGATATTGAGGCAATTTAGGAAACTTATGTTATTTTGTTCCAAGATTAAGGAGATTTTTCTGCATAATTGGTGCAATTATCAGCTGGTAAATCTACAATAACTTAGGCAGAGAATTCGAAGCCCCATGGGAAGCTGAGGTATTTAAAAGGAAAAACCTAAACCTAATGAAAGTGTAAGAAAAATAAGGAAAAGTTATTTCACAAAAGTCTTAGGGCTTGGGAGTCTTTTTAGAGTACTGTGTTTTTGTGTATGTCACTCATGTATCATGTTGATACATAGAGTTTGACTGATTGTTCATTGTCCATTGTTCTCAGTTAAAAGCTTTTAAGCAGAACTGGGTATTGTAATTGTAAGTGTGTTCTTCTATTTTTGGTCTTTTGTTGTTATCACTAAGGTGATTGTGGGAAGTGAGATGGGGTTCTCATATCTAGGGTATTCCTAGGTAAAAGTTGCATAAGGTAATGATTAGGTGATAAGTTGTAAACTAGGGTTGTTTAGATTTGAACTAATACTATCATAGTGGATTTCGTTCCTTGCTTGGATGCCCCCGTAGTAGGCGATGTTGCACTGAAATGGGTTAATAATTGACTGTGTTATTTTACCTTTTGCAATTTAATTCTGCATAATTTACTAGTTGGTAAAATTGTTTTGTCAGCAAATGATGTCTTAACATATGTATGGACATTGTGTTTGGTGTTGGGACATCAGTATTGACATCTATATTGAAAGTGCCAGAATTTCAATTGGCATCAGAGTTGGCACCATATTTTTTTTGGGTGAGCTCTAGGGAGAATATTTTCTGGTACCATGGACAAGGAAGGAGGATACAACAACATACCACCTTTGTTAAATGGTGAAAACTATGACTATTGGAAGGTCAGAATGATAGTATTGTACCCCAAAATTTTCCTCTCACTTATCAAGAATTTGCTCACAAGATCTCCTTAGCTCAAGACTGCACTAGGGTTTGATCAGCTCAAGACACCTCCTTAAACACTGATGACCAAAATTAAGGTTTGAGATTTCACAAGGATATTTGAACTTCCAATACCCCATATGACTTTCATGGATCATTATGGACCCCCAATATTACTCATGTCAAGTTTCAAGCTTTAAATCACACTTTTGCTCAATCAATTGAGCAGTTGACCCAAAAACCAGTTGTATTGGAGAAAAAGTCAACTATGGTCAATTTACAGTCAAACTTCATAATTTTTTATCCACATCAACATTATAAACTCATATGTATCATTTGATCAAGTTTGGACCACAACTCAAGAAATTTGATGAAATCTCCAAAAGGGCAAAATGGTCAAAATTAGGGTTTTGACTGGGAAATGGCAATTTCTGATTTTTGACCTAACAAATGATCAATTGGTTTAAGGCATGATCTCAAGAGTCCAATTGCATAATTTTGACCTAATTACATGGCTCAAAACATTGCAAGTCCATTGGATTGACAGATGAA